AAGCTAAAGGCTAAACTCAGGCTAAAGGCTAAACTCAAGCTAAAGGCTAAACTCAAGCTAAAGGCTAAAAACAAGCTAAAGGCTAAACTCAAGCTAAAGGCTAAACTCAAGCTAAAGGCTAAACTCAAGCTAAAGGCTAAACTCAAGCTAAAGGCTAAACTCAAGCTAAAGGCTAATCTCAGGCTGAAGGCTAAAAACAAGCTAAAGGCTAAATTGAAGCTAAAGGCTAAAAACAAGCTAAAGGCTAAACTCAGGCTAAAGGCTAAACTCAGGCTAAAGGCTAAACTCAGGCTAAAGGCTAAAAACAAGCTAAAGGCTAAACTCAAGCTAAAGGCTAGTCTCAGGCTAAAGGCTAAACTCAAGCTAAAGGCTAAAAACAAGCTAAAGGCTAAACTCAGGCTAAAGGCTAAAAACAAGCTAAAGGCTAAACTCAAGCTAAAGGCTAGTCTCAGGCTAAAGGCTAAACTCAAGCTAAAGGCTAAAAACAAGCTAAAGGCTAAACTCAGGCTAAAGGCTAAAAACAAGCTAAAGGCTAAACTCAAGCTAAAGGCTAAAAACAAGCTAAAGGCTAAACTCAGGCTCAAGGCTAAAACAAGCTAAAGGCTAAAACAAGCTAAAGCTACAAACAGGTGAGTCGTGCAGACACCTGATGAAGCCCACCTGGTGGTAGCCCGTGCACGTGACCACCTTGTCACAGTTCGGGATGAAGTCCAGGTCCCGGACCCAGTGGGGTCTCCGCAGGTCCAGCCAGTCGTTCCGGAGGTTCTTGGCCGTGAAGACCGGGGTGTCGGGCCGCTCCAGGTCCCAGATCCTCAGGCCGTTTTCCTTTCCTCCGGTACCGACCCGGTTCGGCTGGGCCGGGTTCTGCCGCATTCTGCACACGTTCTTCCCAGTGTCCAGTTCCGAGACGGGTTCGGAGGAGTCCTCCCTCCAGACCCGCACCTTGCCGGACTCCACGCAGGTGAGGACCGAACCGTTCCGGGCCTCCAGGCCGGAGAAGCAGCCCTCCTCCGGGTCTCCACAGCGCCGAACCTCCGTGAAGATCCCCTTCTCGGTGCTGAACGTTTTCACGGACCCGTCCACGGTTCCGAGGAGCAGCTCGGACTGGGTCGGGTCCCCCCAGCACAGGACCCGGATCTCCTGGTCCCGGGTCAGCTGGCGCGTGTTGCAGAAGTTGAAGGCCTGCTTGTGGGCCACGCTGACCCCCTTCAGGATCCCGGTCTCCGAACCGAGCCACACGGAGCACAGCCGGCTCTGGTCCCCCATCACAGCTGGACTCTGATCGAACCCGGATCCCAAACGGTTCTATTCGGTCCGAACACACGTGCTGCTCCGCTGTCGCACAGTGATGACGTCACTGAGACCGGAACAAATATTTACTTTTTCTGTACATTTCTTATTTCAGTAAACTTTTAATTTTTTATAAATTTCTTATTTCAATAACAAACTTCTTTGTTGTTGTTCTTTGTTTCACCAGGTAAACTGGATGTTTGTGTTGGTGAATAATATCTGTCTGACCTGATCTGGTGTAAAAGATTAAAATCTCCTGTTTATATAAATTATATATATTTGTTTAAAAGATGAGACATTGTCTGTTTGGTTTAAGTGTAAACACTGATAAACAGCTCTCTATCTTTAAGATCTATATTATTTATTCTAGTGAAATAAATTAATTTACTCAGAACTGTGTCCAAATAAAACAGACGGTGTATAAATGTTTGTTTTCAATAAAAACCTTTTTCTTTTTTTTACTTCCTGAATGTGCTGGTCTCTACCTCCCTCCCTCAACAGTTGAGTTTATAAATAAAGTTTTTTTAAAGAACAATCTGTGACGTCAACATAAAGCGCCTCATTGTTCGCGCATGCGTCTGAGCAGTGCTCGCACCATTTTGCGTGTGGCTAAGCTAACAGCAGCTAGCTGTTGATCTTTTTCTGCTTGGCTGTAATTTGTGTGTTTGTGTTCCGGTTCTGACAGTCAGTCTGAGGAAACGAACCCGTTGGTTCTGACCCGGAGTCTCTGTCTTCGTCTGAAAACATGGACGGAGAGGAAGACGACTTCATGTCCGGGACCCACTCCGGTAASCAGCTAGCTCAGCTTTGTTTACCGACTCACCGAGCTAACATCCAGCCGAGAAGAGCTGTCTGTGAGCGGCTCGGTCTGCCAGCTCCACCCGGCCTGTTACATGACATCCATAAAGTGTGGCGTCGGTTCCGGGCTCGGTTCTGATGTTTGGGCTGCTGTACCTGTTTACCTGGGATGTAGGATGAGTTCGTTAAAAAGGCCCGCGCTCTTATAACGTTAATTAAATTAAATTAAATTAAATCTTTGACAGGCTGTATAAAGATATTTTACTGACACTGAATCAGACCGAAAGCGGATCTTTTACTGACTTTTGTATTTTCTTTGTATAATTTATACAATCAGCTCGTATTTTTCTCAAATCAGTTTTGTATTATTGGCTGATAAATGAGTATTTGATGACGTCATTGTTGAGTGAAAACATCCGTTTTTTACTGAACTCTACAGCTCGATGCTCAGAGGAGCTGTTTGACTAATGTCTGTCCAGAACCAGGTCCAGTTGTCTGGTTCTGGGTCAGTTGTGTGTGAGCTGCAGTGACACCATGTGAACAGGTTGAATAACGTGTGTAAACCTGTGTTTTCAGACGACGGCGGCGCCACTCCAGTTCAGGATGAACACCCACCATCAGACGGCGAGGAGATGAAGAGCGACGGGCGTCAGTCTGAGGTTAGACTGATCCCTCCTCAGTCTGAGGTTAGACTGATCCCTCCTCAGTCTGAGGTTAGACTGATCCCTCCTCAGTCTGAGGTTAGACTGATCCCTCCTCAGTCTGAGGTTAGACTGATCCCTCCTCAGTCTGA